TTTCGGCTCCAGCCGCTGCGGCGGCAGCAGGGTCGGCGGGAGAGGTGGCGGGAGCGGCTTTGAGCTGTGCCGATAGCGCCGCGTTCGTCGCGCTCAGGTCGTCCGCTGCCTGCTCGATCCATGAGAGAGATCAGATTACAATTTGGTGGTGTAACACACCGGCAAGTACCTCAGTCGAAACCAAAACTGTCCGTGTGGATCACCCCGCTTACAAGACACGAGCGAACGCAGTCTTGTTGGTAGACACAAGTGTCGGTCGCCCCGCTAGTCAAGTTGGAATCCTTGAAACCTTCTACAGTAGGAGCCTGGGTAAGGGATTCCAATCCCGGCGTAAGGGAGTTTTCTTGCAAAGTGGGGTTTTCTCTCGCTTCCGTGCCTGGCGTGGGTGAAAAACGCTTGTTCGTGTGTACAGAAAGGGGAGAAAGTTCTGCACTCTTCTAGCATGTAAAACCGAAGGCAAAGTACTGCAGGAGGGGTGGGTACGGGGCCTCAGGGATAGGAACCCTTCTGTGTGACCACGGGTTGGATTAACCGGCACAAGTGCTGTGAGCGATTTGAAGTGAAGACAACGCAAAAAAAACACAAAGAAACATATTTTCCACGCGAACGACATCCAGTCTGCACAAACCTACGTAGATCTTCTTGTCAATGTTTGAGGTGAGAACGCACTTCACCGACAGATGGCCAATTGTACTCGCGTTTGTGCGCAACCGTCATATCTACCCCAACGGTAAATTTCCGTACAGAAATGGCGGCTCGTTCAGTCTGAAAGATGCAACAGAGCGTCTGGTCCTTGCCGATCGGATACTCCCAGTATGTTCCACGGACTGGACGAAAATTGCGTCAAATTGTCACCTTCTTTGCGGACTCGAGTTGTAGTTTCAGGGAAAGCTGCTCCTCTTCCAGCGAAAAGACTCGATCCGCTTGTTCACGCAGCTCGGATTCCATCTGTTGACATAAGGACGCAGTGTTCGCCACCGAAACAAAAGAAAGGACGCGGTGAGCCTTTGTGGGCAAGACCAAGTCATTTAACAATCAAACAGAAATGGTGCATCCTGAATGGTTTTTGGGCCTTGCTTGGCCTCTCCCACACACCACGTGGTGTGAACGTTTCTGTGAGCGCCTGAATCCAGATCAGGGACTGTTTATTCGATACGGCCCTCAGACCCTTGTTGCGGCTTCAAGACAGTGCCTAAATTCTCGCCTAGATTACCAACTCCCCAAGATGATCTCCGCAACCTTTAGGGTCCGCAGATGAGCTTTCCGTCGTGAACACTAAGAGGCTTGCGTTACCTGAATGGGTATCATATCACTTCGCTTTCAGCCAGTCAACAGGGTCTACGTGAACCGACCTCTTCTATTATTTCTTCCGACTCGGTCAGGTCGAACTTCTTTCCGGCCTCGTCGTCTATGTCCGTGTCCTTGTCCCCCCCCTTCTTTCTCTCCGAATCCTGCTGTTCCTTTTCTGCCGCCAACACTTTTGCGTGTGCCGCAACCGCAGCAGCCGCAGCGGCATTAGCTTCCGCTACTTGGGCGGCGGCTTGAGCGACGGCGGCGGCTGCAGCAATGCCCTTGGTAGGGAACGGACGCGGCCCAAACGCATCAGTGCAAAGTGTGAACAACCAATGACGAACATCAACTCGTTGCGGAACTTCGTCCTTGGCAAGAGTTCGAGATCTGCCAGCATCGCCCGGTTGGCTTCCCAACTCTTCGCAGCACACGAATCCATTGCCAACTGTTCTGTTTCACTGATGACTCCAGCCAATCCTCGTTTGATGCAATTGCCTAATATTTCAAACCAAAAAACTTCTAACTGTGCAGGAGCGTGTCACGCCGTGAAGTGCGGCCAAACAGAACAAACGCTTCCTGCAGAATGAGCGCCATCATCGTCGGTCCAAGTGATTTTCGTCGCTGCGCGATACGAAAGAGAAGCACACCTAGGCGTAACCGCGTATTCGGTCACTACTCGACCCACCATTTCCTCCTCTTTTTTCTTCTCGGCGAGAAGCATAGACTCCAGCCGACGCCTGGCTTCGCCTTCATCATCAGCTTTCTGCTTCTCGGCTTCCAACAGCGCCAGTTTTTCGCCCAGCAAGACCTTCATCTCGCTAGCTTCCCGAACGAGGGCCTCTTTGCTCGACTTCTCCGCTTCGAGCGATTCCTGACATCGAGACGACGTGGTGAACTGTGAGCGAGAGCTAACGACCCCGAAACTAAGACCGTGCATGCGAGCTAGGCTATCAGTTCACTCACCAGAACACCATGTGTGTTCACTCCAACGAGCAGGCCATACTGTGGTAGAAATATATGTACTGCAAGGGAGGAGCCCTGGCCGTTGCCTGAGGGTTCTGACTCGTTGCACTTCCGACTCGAGTTCTCGCACACTGGACGAAACGGAAAAGATAACGGAAGCAAGAGCCATAGACGTCTTTTCTCGGCGAAAACACCAGCTTGTTGAAAACCCCCACAGATTGAGAGCCACTCTGTGTTTCCTGTCCCCGAGGGGGGCAGCTCACGATTGTCATAATAACATGGCCCACACAAGTGAAAAACATGCATCACGGCGTGCATGACGATAACTTCTTCTCGAGTGGGTTGTTCACCCGACCTTGACCAAATCCATGTCAACGTCAACGGTCAACCACCCCCAGAACCTGGCGTAGTTGATTTTCGTCTGTTCTTCAGCCCCTCTCCCCTGGAGGAGCTCTCCATGCTCTTTCGCGTATCAGGCAAAACCTCGCGCTTCACATGGGTCATTGTCTCTTGCTGGAGAGGCTATCAACCGTGCCAAGGGTGTCTGACCGGTAGAATTCTGTCTCACGCATGTGACCACAGTTGAATGATGATAGGACAGACCTTAGACGCCCGCAGAGCTTCCTCCGCCCTGGCCCCTTTCTCTCGTGCCTCCTCGAGCCTGCACTGGCGGTCCTCTGCCTCTTTCGCCAAGCGTTTCGTTTCTATCGCCAGCTCTCTGCCACGCTCGCGTAGCCTCGCGGCTTCTTCCGCTTCTTTGCCTATACGCTGACTCCCAAGCAAGCAGTAAGGAATTCGTGGAGGTGTCGCTAAGGGGGACTTGGCGTGGAAAAAGAGTTTTTTCAGGCTCAGATGAAGAAGCAAATTTTGCTCCGTAGAGAGTTTTTGCCCAGTTGTCTGAGGGACCTATCTTGACTTTCATCTTGAGAGGCAAGTGTCCCGCGTAGAGGCCAGTATATATGGTGCCACCAGTACATGGGACTACTGCACATATTGTTGACACGGTAAAAATGATGTTGTTTAAGCGGAAATGCTCTTCTGTGCCATGATACCTTGTGTCTTCCCTGCTCACGAGCAAGATTTCTGTGCCGATTTGTGACGAACGAAACAAACTCGTTGGGTATCAGCACAGAGTACCCTGCTGTACGTATGTCCCCCCTCGGCCGATGTAACCATGCAATACCCATGTGATGATGTGGCAAGCGATGTCGCATGACCAGCAACGTGCCCAGCTTATGAATGCACGTTCCAAGAAAAATGACATCCGTGTTCGAGACCATGTATATGGAGCTTCAGGTACCTGAAGCTCTGCCATCGTCATCTTGTTTTTCTCCCGAAGCCGCGCCTCTTCCTTCACGGAGACCTGCAGACTTTTTTCCGCCGCCTCCGCACGTGCAACTGCCTGAATGTGTTACCGAGACATGGGCGAGGGAGGAGGAACGAAGAGGCGACACGGCAAGCACCATGAATTACTTTTCAACATTCCTCCAGCCTCACCAACACGAACCCCATCCACAAACAACACGGACCATTCATTCACCAACGGACAACAGCCGCAGGGAAACGCACCGCCATCACAGTTTTACGTCTGAGCTTGCAAATACGAACAGACAGCCCCACAGCTACCCTTCAATAACGGCAATATATGAAAACGTGGGTAGTGCCCTCCTGCCTGTCTGTCGGCATGGTGGTGTTCTCTCCGCTCCCGCTGCCTTGACGCGACCTCCTCCTCGAGAGCAGTGGCTAGCTCTTCCTCCCTCTTCAACAACACCCCCACCTTCGAGTTTTCAGTCAATAAGTAGTGAGCAAGCGACAAATCTGAGCAAGCGACAAATCGTCTATGAATTGGACATGCGACACCCCACGAGGAAGTCATCTGTTCTGCAGGTTTTGCGGAACCCCGACAGAACGAAGTCAACGCAACCCCTTGGTCCTCAAAAAACGTTCAAGGAGTTTTACATGAGCTGAGCACACTTATCGGATGTCATCCAAGGCACCACGAGTTTCTCCTTCCTTCTATCGCAATTACTCCCGTGCATGGCAATCGATTGACCAATCAGACGTTCCCGTGGTTTCATGGCGGTGAAAAACATATTCTTCCCACCTCCTCTGCCTGCCTTAGATATTGCTCTCGGAATTCGTCCGCCTCAGCCAAGGCCTCCTCTTTCCGCAAAGCCAACTGCGCCTTCAGATGATGGACCTGGTTCAGAATATGGACACGCCGACAATTTTCAACAACAAAAGCTCTGCTTCATGAGCAGCCGAACTTCACGATTGACTCGACACGACCCAGGTTGTTGAAAGCCCGAAAGCAAAACATACCGATTCAAGACGTCATGTGTCACAACCGGGCGTCGCAAGCCGCAAGATATTTCGGCATTCACCAAGGCATTAGTTCAGAGAAACGTTTTTCTTTGGCTTCATTTCGGAGGGCGACTCGAAGCATCGACGTTCTGTCGTGTCTTCCAACCTTGAAAAATCCCGGTATATATTACTGTAGCAAGTACTTGCCGCACATCCGCGACAGCCGGCCGTCTTCCTCGCAAGGCGTTGTTAGAGAAGGAGATGCACCGAAGGGTGGGAAGGGGATATGCGAGGCGACGTCGACATCTTCGGTGAGCCAGTGGAACACATCCTGATTGCACAACAAAATGGCGCAAGTACGATAGATACGCTTGCACCCCGAGGAGGGATGACACTGCTGTGTCGCGGAAGATACCACACCCCCTGCCCGGACATTCAAGACAATGCCCAATATTCCAAAGTCCTCACTCACCTGCTCCTGGCTCGCCTCGAAATCCTCCAACAAAGCCGTGTACTGCTCCCCGAGGTTCGCGTGCTTCCTCTTCAACTCTCTCGCCCGTCGTTCCTTGCGCCCTAGCTTTTCTTGAACACCCCTAAGACCCCTGTTTTCGAGTTGAAGCTGGTCAATGGCCTCCGCCTAAAGAATTGGGTGGATCGCACCAAATGAGAGGGGGGGGAGCTGAGCCTGTTGTTCGACGGCCCGAAAACAGGGTCTAGAGTCTAGTTAGTCGTCGACGGGCTATTCATATGCGCTAAGGATTCGTTGTGGAGAAGGGTCGAAACACCTTGACGTATTGGTTGCTTGTTTAAACACGGCAGTCGGTTTCCTCTGCCTCCACATGCCAAGAAACGTTCCGGTTTCAAACAACGGTAGAGGGCCCTGTTTAGTGCCGGGGTGTGCGCAAAATTTTCACCGGCACTATTCTTCAGAGTGCCTGGATAGTGCCAAAGGGGCCCTATTCAGGGTCTGAAAATCCCTCAATAGTGCCAGACCGGCACTATTGACGAACTGTGTATTTCAGAGTGCAGCGCTTTGCTTTGCGGGGCCAACAGAGTACCACATGAAACGTACATGGTGAGATCATGGCATGGGCGTGGGGGCAGACTGCTGTACCACAGTAGGGGTGGTTCCTGCCCTGTCGAACACACATATTTTGCTTAATAAGTTAACTGGACGGGACACACATACATGCTGCACCTTGTTGCTGTACCCACCTCAGCGCACGTACTGCAAACTTGCACAACCTGACTTAAACCCTTGACATGAATATCGCAAAGGATGCACCTCATAGATGTCCAATATTTTGTTGGCAAGAATGCCGTGGCACTGGCCTTTAACGGATCAAATCATTTCGCGCAACCTCAACATCACTCCTCGACAGCGAAAGCAAACCACTGATCGTGAAGCCCATGGATTTTTGGCGGTAACACTTTTGCGGAGCTCTTGCTGGCACAACCTATTGGTGAAGGAGGAAGCTAAATCTGTCTCCTCACTCTCCTTCGATGTAGCCAGAACAAGAAAAAAAAAAACTTGACCGCAAGGACGGGACATGCAAGAAATCTAACAGCCGCTGTAGCTGTAACCCCGGCCCTCACTACGTCGCGATAAATTCCTGCATGTCTGCCTGGCGAGCCCGCCTTGCGGTATGCGCTGCGATCATTGCCATCCTCGCTTTCGACAGGTGGTACACGGCGTCTCCGTTGCCACTCTCCTCCGCTGTCGCCTCTAGGTACCCGAAGTGAGACGACAGTTCAGCGTAACCCGGTGGGGCACGCCGCCCGCGGCCCGCGTTTTCATGGTCGCTACCCCCCTCCTCTTCGTCGACCTCTTGTTCGTCCTCCTCCTCTGACCCGGGAGACACGTGCGACCCAGCTAGTTGTGCCGTCATGTCGTCCACCGCGTCCTGCCGACAAGCTTCTACCACTTCATCGTCGTCCTCAGTAGTAGCCCAAGCCTGAAGCGTGTTCACCGCGTCCCTTCCCGTGTTCAATGTTATGTTCCGCCAACAGCTCACACAGCTCCTCGTCTTGAAAGCTGGATCAACAGCTCACACAACTCCTCGTCTTGAATGCACGTAGTAGGATCCAGCATTCAAGACGAGGAGCTGTGTGAGCTGTTGGTGGAACATAACATTGAACACGGAAAGGCTGCCGTGGGGGACGCGGTGAACACGCTTCAGGCTTGGGCTACTACTGAGGACGACGATGAAGTGGTGGAAGCTTTTCGGCAGGACACGGTGGACGACATGACGGCTCAGCTAGCTGGCGCCTCTATCACGCTCGTGCTCAATGTGTTGAGACTCCTCGTGAGAGCCTTCATCTCAGGCTCGGTGATCCGGTCTCGGGCCTCTCCGTGTTGCTCGGTTACTTCAGCTGCCATCTCCGCCGGACACAAAGCACCTGGTTCCAGGTAGCGCAGAACATGGAACAGCAGTCCGATTGTGAGTTGACCAATTGATGTTAGACGAGACCAGCATTTGACAACAAATCATCGACAAACGAGAAAGCATCCTTTTGTAGCCAAGCAACAACGGGGGGTGCTGGAATACCTGGTCGAAAACGTAAACATCTATCCGTGCAACCTCGTTACGTACCACCAGGCTTGTGCACACTGCATGATTCCAAAATTTACACAGCGACAGCACATGTTCAAGCCTGACCTGGCGATGTCCCGGGCGGTAACGCTGGCCCAGGCTTTCTGGAGAAGTTCGGCGGCGTCACGCACGTGAGGTTGGTGCCCTTGTGCCAGCCCCACTGTCCCGCGCTTCATCTTACGGGCTTTGGCCTGGGCACGAAGGGTCTCAACCACCAACATGGTTGATGTCTTGACGTCGAGCAGCTCTTTCCTGTAGATGNGCCTGACCTGGCGATGTCCCGGGCGGTAACGCTGGCCCAGGCTTTCTGGAGAAGTTCGGCGGCGTCACGCACGTGAGGTTGGTGCCCTTGTGCCAGCCCCACTGTCCCGCGCTTCATCTTACGGGCTTTGGCCTGGGCACGAAGGGTCTCAACCACCAACATGGTTGATGTCTTGACGTCGAGCAGCTCTTTCCTGTAGATGACCTTGGTCTTGGCGATGATCCCCTGGTCCATGGACTGTACGCTGGTGCAGTTTAGAGGGTAAAGCTTGACGGTAACTTGCCCCCGTTCATTCGCTAGATCAGCATGAGACGAGCAGCCGTCCATCAGCAGCAGCACAGGTTCGTTGGTGAAGCGCCGAACGAACGGGAGGAAGACCTCACGCCACCACTTGAGGAACGTAGCGGTATTAGACCACGCGTTAGCTGGCGAGAAGTGCTTGAGAGGGCAAGTCAAGCCCGTCAGGCAACGGGGTTTCTTTGCCTTCCCGATGATGGCCATGTCAACCTTTGCAGTAGCATCTGCATGGCAGCACAAGATGGCAGACAAGCGATCCTTGAAGTACATGCTCTTTGAGCCCCGCGCTGTCTTCCGATTCTCCGAGGTGGAAAGGTACGTGCGCCTAGGCATAAGCTTCCACTGGATGCCTGTCTCGTCGACGTTGAAGATGAACCTAGCTGAGTACTTCGCGCAGACGGCCCTCATTTCCTGCATGCCCTCCTCGATGGCCTCGCGACTGACGCTGCTAGCCTCGCCATGAAGTCTCGTGCTCTGAATGTTGTTGCGCTTCACGAAGTTCCTGGCCCACTTGTCGCCGGCCTTGAATTCCTGGAGCCTCGCCCTGACTGCTGCAGGAGTTGTGGGCTCAGCTAGCAGGGTTGCCTTGGCAGAGCGGCCGAAGCTTCGAATGACGTCGCGTGTGACAGACATCTTGGCTTTCCGGGCTTTCTCGAGTAGATCAAGAGCAATGGCATCCACCTGCCGTCAAACAAAGAGTATCACAAGTTTCAAAAGGGTAGAGATAGTCCAATGATTAGCTTCGAATATTATGTTTACGTGCATCCAACATTGTGCGGCGCATTCAGGCTGGACCTCGTAGTTCATAGTGTTAAGCTGCTAATTGCTTTGTTTTTTCGAGTTTTGTTCTCATTTGCTTGCTTCAAGTATAATCTGAAGGAAAGACTTTGTTTGATACGCAGGAAAAATCGAGAAGCGTGCGCGCTGCACGTTATGTATATATACTGGCATGCACACGTCGTGCGTGCGGATGATTTTTTTTTTATGGCTCTGTCGCTGGAGCACAAAAAAACAGGAAAAAGGGTCCCATGCAAGGGAGGAGAAAAGAAGAGCTTGAACAGACTAACAAAAAAAATGACCTCGAAAAAAGGAGGAGGCCGCGAAAAAAAATGAGTCTCGAAGAAAGTATTCTGCAAAAACAAACAAGCGCAGCAACAACAGCAGATTGACACCAGTTTAGCGCACCTTGGGATACCCTCCTTTGCGGATGTTTTTCTTGCTGCCGCTGCCTGCTGCAGCAGCCTCGTTCTCCACCTTCTCCCGCTCGGCCTTCACTTTGCGGATGAACCCTTCCGAGCGCCCGAAGCGGTCTGCTATCTCTGCTTGAGAGAGCTTCGCATCCACCAGCTTGAGGATCTCGACCTTTTGGTGTACGTCCAGCCGCTTACGAGCTTCGTTCTTACTCCCCCGTTGTGCTTTCGGGCGCTTAGATTGCCCCTTCCCAGCACCCTCTGCTGCTCTCGCTTTGCGCTTGTCAGTGTTGGCTACGCACGGACTGCAGATGCGGTTCAGCTCGCTGCCGTCAAACATGCTTCCACATTCGCCATGGAGCCGCCCGCCGCATCGTCCCCGGCAGATGTGACCAATAGGGGCTTGTGGCGTTCTGTCCGTATGCGGCACAGGTCACCTTCCGCACATGGCATTGTGCGCCTCTGCGTAGCGCTGTTCGGGTCTGCAGCAGCACGTGTACCCTCTCCTCTGTGTCTGTTTCCTGTGTTGTGTGTGTCTCTTGTAGGCCTTTGCTCCATCGGCCGTATATTATTGATTTAGATACACAAACTTTATTTCCATACTAACTTCAAGCAATTTCACCTTCTTTTTCTCCGTCATACAAACAAAACGGCCGATGGAGCAAAGGCCTAGTCTCTTGTGTGTTGTGTGTGCGTGCGTGCTTGAACTGGCACTATTGTGGGGTTCAGTGGGGCCCGAACCGGCGCTATAGTGGGCAGTCCTGAATAGTGCTGGTCTGGCACTATTCAGGACGGGTTCTGTGCGCCGAGATTTGACCGGCACTATACCGGCAACCGGCACTATTCAACCGGCACTAAACAGGGACCTCTACTGTACAGCACATCCCTTAGCTTCAACCCACCGCCGGGCGGGATGTGGTTCAGAACAGGTGGACCTCAGAGCTGTGATGGGATTGTACCGCACGTTCGTTGTTCCCATAATTGCAATTATCCCTGCCAAAAAAATAACACAACACCCTGCGGTGTGTTGGCTAGCTAGCGTCGTTACCCCCCCCCCGCCGCCTGACAGAGAAAAACGAGTCACGACAGTAGTCGCCCTCAAATAGTTCATATTCCCACCACCCCGTCTACATTTGTCGGCCAAAACACACTGGCAGCGAGGCGAACATAGCGGGGGGTCGAACCTGGGCATGGAGCGCCGCGTCTCTGCTCCGGACAGACACCCTTAGAGCGTCCACCTCTTCCAATGCCTCCGAAAGCCGCATCAACTCCTTCGTACTAGCCTGTTGGTCTGTATCGCCTCCTCCACCTCCCTGGCACGTCGATCGCGGCACGGTGTCGGTCTATAATCGTGCCAGAAAGGGTTGAGGGCAGCGGCAGGGCTGCAAACCGGCGACAACCTCAGAAGTGTTAATCTAAAGGGTGATCGTGTGATGTTTCACATCTCCTCACGGTTGTATTGGTTGGAACCGCCGAAAGTATCTCGCTAACTTCGAAGAGGAGGAGCGACGAGGGTACTGAATAGACGTCAAGCGTTGCTATCAAGGCTTAAATAACAACGTCGACGTAGGGCTCGAGTCTGAGGGGCCCTGAAATGCATTCAATATTTTCTTTACACCGCACCTGCCCTTCGAGCTCGACCCTTGAACGTTCTGCGGTCGTTCCCGCCACACCGCCTTCATCACGATCTCCACCTGTTCGTCTGGGGACGCCGTGAAACAGCACAAGAGAAGCCCTTGGTGATGGGCGTTTTCGACGCCTCTACCTACACGTGGACGCTTGCGGGTCACTCAGAACAACGCCGATGGCACGCAGGTTTCAAACCTGCTGCTCTTACCAGAGTGAGTTGAATCAGTTGCGCGTTTTCTTCAATCGAACGGCCAAAAGTGAACTAGTGGATGGTTTCCTGCAAAGAGGGATGACCCCACTAAGTTGCCACGTTCGCCAGAGCCGCAGGAGGAGAGATGGGGGCGAAGCAAGGACTGGCAGGATTTATAGGAACAGGCGTTAGGAATTTTTTTCGCCAGTTGTGAAGCGTTACCTTGTCTTGAGCTTGTCCAGCGCCTGTCGGTACTTCTTCTCTAGTCGATACAGTTCGTTTTGGAGCTCCTCTCGTGTTTTAGGCCGGAATCTTCTCCCGGCAACGGCGACAGCGAATGCACGAATGAGCAAAAGTGGAATGTCAATGATGATGGGCGAATGTAGTTCAGCCCGCCTGCCTATCCTATGCAATATACAAGCTAGTGATCCTAGCCGAGCCTTTCAACCGAGAGTGGGGTTAACGGTGGATCAGGGTCTTCATCCTTTTCAAACAAACGTTATATTTGGCTGCCTCCTGAGCAAAACGCCGGCTGTTGTACCCTGTGGCTGGCGTATGTAGCTGAGGCTTGGGTTGAGCAACACACAGCGTTCTTGTTTTTTTTCACCCACAGACGCCTAAATGACCGTATCCTGACGGTTACAGACTTGGAGACACACCTTCACAGTACATGTTCACAAAACTGTATCAACATACGCTTTAGGTCGTTCTCGCATTCCAAATACCCCAAAATCTCATTCACGTCTCACTCGCCTTAACGGCCCTCCAACCGTCTTGCGAATGATCCACTCGTTCGTTTCTTCCTTTCCCATGCCAGTCTTGAGGCCCAGTTCTTCCTTGATCACGTCCACCACAAGATCCTGTAGTGCGCGGCATTACGTAAGGCAGCGGCAATTATTTTCAGAGATCGTGTTACCTACGAAGCTACTGCACGGTGGGGGCAGACAGATCACACCCCTTCCGTTTGTTAAGGTTTGGCTCAATATGGGAGCTGGAGCTACTGGACTCGAGTGCGCATGCCAAGTCCTCAGACAAAACAACGGCAGAAAAGTTTTTGGCTTTGGGTGATCACACCAAGAGTCTTGACGCATAATCCTCTGAAGAGGGCATGGGGGAGTCCCACTCAGGCGGTGCTACTATTACCTCTTGTTTTCGGACACACACCAGGTGGTTGTACATTAGCCAATGGTCGGATGGGTAGTCCGTGCTCTCTCGACTGCTGGTGTACGAATTCCAGGCGTAGAAGAACAACTCGTTAGCAGTGGTCGACGCCCCTGTTGGCTCACCGACGACACTCAGACCTGGTGACACACCGCTCTTTTGTGCGGATCTTTTTGTGAGGACTACGGAAGGCTTCGTCCACACTCAGCCGCGGGTGCAGACGGACATCTGAACCAGCGCGACGTTTCGTTTGAAAGTTCTGCGGCTGTGTACTTGTTCATGTTCTTAAAACCAGAAACCAGGAACTCTAGCCGCCAATGAAAGTATTGTTCTTCTCATGGAACGTCCCACGCGGCACACGCTGGACGGTCCATGGGAGGCCGTACGCGGACGGCGCATTGGGCGCGTGGGATGTTCCACAGGAACGTCCCTGGGGCAACTATGAGTCCCGACCAGGGTGCATGGATGGTGTGCGTAGGGCTATCATGTTTTTTCATTCTCACGGTACCGGCCAGGGCAAGGGCAAGGGCAAGGGCAAGGGTTAGGGTTGGGTTTACGCGTCTCACGGGTGTCATCGGCGTTCCATGCACTGTCTGGGCCAAGCCACTCGTCTGCTCGGCGTACCATGGGACGTCACACACGTCCCATGCGTCGCATGGGTGTCCTCCGGGCCGTCACACGGCTGCCCACGGCCCGGGGCAAGCGGCCGCTACACCCGTCCTTGCGGACCGGGCCACGGAACACCTTGTTGTTGTTGTTGTTGTTGTTGTTCACAATAAAACTCGTGTCAGTTGCTAATCCCAAAATCTAGCAAAGACTCGGTCCGTGGTCACAAAAATGCTAGAGCCATCCTTGTGGATGACTACCAATCATGCCAGCTCCTCGTGGGTGTCCAGGCGATAGTTTTTTTGTCCATATCACGGGGTTTCAATCAGGTATGACCGGTTAGCCTCGGAGCTCGTGAAAGTTTATAGTACGTGAGAGTCGACGAAAAGTATAATACGTGAGGGCGGTACCTTCGGGCATCACATAAGATGTCCATCTGTTGAATTGCACTTCCCCGGAAGGGTAGTGGTGGAAGTCGGCGAATTAACGATGGATGAGGGTCAAAGCTGTTCTCTGCTACTGTAGGCATAGGCTGTTCTCCTGCGTGTAGGTCTATGATGTTATCGACTTTCGGCTCCTTTCCAGCTACAGAGCGAGCCCTTGAGATCTTGCATCAAAGCGGGTTGTAGACAGAACATCAGAACCTGCACGAAACCCGAAAGTGTGGATCAAAGGCCAAAGACTGTGACAACCTCTGCGCGTTGACCGCGCCGTGCCAGAAGCAGAGTCCATTCGTTTGGACCCACTAAATGTGCCAGGAATGCACGTTTTCGTACTCCAAGATGGATGGTTAGCTTTGTACACTGTGTCCTGTCGGATTAATGTGCGCGGCGCCTGTACAACTGCTGTCAGACTCACCTGCTCCCTCAATCTTGTTCTCATTGCTCGAATCATGGCGGAGCGTCGGTGGTCCTTTCCTTGGGCGGTTGCCAGTGCAAGTCTCTTCTTCAGCTCAGCAACACTCCTCATCAGACTCCGAACCTGCACACAGAAGGGAATTATTGTCACGAGTCGGTCAACCTGGAATATAACTTGGTGGTATGAAAGAAGGTTCAGGCACAGATTTAACTGACCCTGTTCTTCTAGTCTCTCTGGCGGGAGTTGGGTAGTGTACGGGCGATAGAGACCCCCCCGCCAATAACGACCAATGTTCATTGGCAGTTGGATTGGAAGCAACAGCTTCGGTACCAAATTGAGAGTGATGATCGATGGTGCGATCCGTTGGGCCCTGAGATGGCCCTTTCAAACTACGCGCGTGAACGGGGCACGTCGCTTGTTTCGTTCACCAACAGCGGTATCAGTGGTGCGTTTACATCAATCAACCGGCTACCGACCTCTGTTGCACGGCTGTGACCCGTCGCTACAGTTGACAGAGACTGGTGCTGAGAAAATAGTGACATCTTGGCAAAAACAACCGTGCATGTAGACTAGAGTACACAGAAACATCTCCATTGAACCGACAGAGCAACTGAAGTTCCTACCTCTATCGCTCTCACAACCCGTGCATCCCACACCACGTCACACTATGGGCTCACCTTTTGTGCGTGGATCTTC